TGAGTAAATATACTTAATATTATAGGTTTTAAATAAAAAAATTATTTATTCAAATAACATATAAAATTATATTAAAAAGTAATAAAAAAATATTTTGTATCAATTTCCTTAAAAATTTAGAAGTTTATAATTACCTTAAAAATAAAAAATTTAACCAATAACCTAAATAATTCAGTAGTTATCTTCTTTTATTGAAGGTGAGAGATCTTGAATTCGAACTGTATGATATGTGAGTGCAGTGGGATAAGAAATAAAAGATGATTACTTTTAATTGTGCAATTAAAATAAAAAAAATTTAAAAAAAATTTATATTCTTAATTAAAAAAAAAACTCAAATTCATATTCTCACTTATGGAAATTGATTCACGACGTTTTCTTTTTTTCCTTACTGTTTCATTATTCTAAGCATGCTAACTGAATCAACTTTGACATACAAATTGGCAAACAAGATCAGGAGAATTTTTTCCTATTTTCAATATAAATAGTCTATTATTTAGTAAACTAAGAAAAGATTAGCCTCGAATTTCAAATAAATTAATCTAAAAATATTTAAAGGCTAAATTAATATAAAAATAAAAATAAGGAGGATTTCATTATAATATACATCATCCTAAGTTGTTTGGGCGTTCATAATGGGGTAGAGTTTAGAATGCATAATCTATATGAAAATTTAAAATTAATAATATAATATAAATTATATTATTTAAAATATTTAAAAATAAATATAATAATATTTAAAAATTAATTTTTTTATCTCTTTTAAATATTATTAATTTTAAATTTTTATCCTTTTTATCATTATTATTATTTTTTAATATAATTTTGCAGTAAATTCCTATTACCATATTTTTTTTTTTTTGTAAAAGACTGGGTTTGAACACGTCGATACAGTCAACCGGACTGTGGCCCAATTGGTTGGCTCCCAAGTTTTAGGGTTTGGGTGAGGCGAAAATCAGGGTTCGAGCTCTGCCACCGCTGTGAACTCCACCAACTTGCAACCTAATGGTCGCGCACCTCAAATGAGGGGTGGAACGTTCACTTTTCTGAAAAAATTTCAGCTGCTAATAAACTAACTCTAGTAACTTCCTAACTATCTACCTGATCATAAAAAAAAAAAAAAAAAAGAACACGTCGATACATGTAATTCCACCAGTAAGAAAGCGCCACATCATCCCAAGAGCATCCAATCAGCCCCCACCGTTCCGCAGTGGAACTTAATAAGGTCAGAGACTCCATATGAAATGACTGAAATGCCACAATGTAACTTTTCCTATCCCATTGCAAAATACGAGGGGAGAATTGGAAATCCGAAAACCGAAAAGGCCAATATCGTAAATTCATCTCCGGCAACGAATTTCAATTCTCTATCTTTTTGTATGTTAATGGATTCTTTGAAGTGAAGAAGAAACTCCATAGAATCTTGTTTTGAGATCTGTTTTACTCTGAAATTCTCTTTGGTTTTCTCCTCCATGGCTGCACCGTTTTTCTCCACCCCTTTTCAACCTTACGTTTATCAGGTACCTGTTTTCCCCAGTCTCTTACGATTTCCTGTTTGGTTAGCGAGAAAATTTTAGCTGAATGGAAGAAATTGAGCCTAGTTACATAAACCATGTTTGATCACCTCAACTTTTTATTGGGCTTGCAAAGCCGCCGCTGCCAATTTTAGTGATTTTTTGGTTTTGGATTGGTGTTTTGACATTTTTCTTTTCCCGTTGTGAATTCTGTGTAAATTAGGTTTCTTTTCGTGGAAAAGAGAAGAATTTATATTCTAACCTCTAAATTTGATTTGGGTTCATCAGTTGTAATTGTAATAGCTTTGCTTGCATTAAGTGAAGTGAAGTATTGTTTGAGACCCAAGTGATCAAACTGTGGCGGCGACTAGTGCTTAGGCTTGGTCTCACCTTTTTCACAACATATTAGCTATGGGGAGTTTGAGTTGATAGTTGCGAGTGATGAATTGTGTTTTTTTTTGAAAGAGAGAAAATTGCGTGGACAAGAATGTTAGGAGTGTGAACAATGCTGAAATGAGGCATTTGTATGTTTTGTGGGTCTTGCTTGTATTCCACTTGTTTTTTAATTTTATGTGTTAATTTTGATGTAGAGTCCCCAAGATGCTGTCATCCCCTTTCAGATTTTGGGTGGTGAGGCTCAAGTGGTTCAGGTACTAAACGATGCCTCTATAACCCTTTGTTATGACTCTTTTAAAAAGTCATGTCTTCGTGTATCAATAATTGTAAAGCTTTTCTGGGTTTTGGTTGTTTTGTTGACAGATAATGTTGAAGCCACAGGAGAAGGTTGTTGCAAAGCCTGGTAAGTTTTTGTGCATTAGTTAGTTCCAAAATATAAGTTACTTGCTGACTATCTCATACGTGGCTATTCCTGATAGTAAAATACTAAATTTTGAAAATTTATGGATATTTTTGTATGATGGGGAGTTGGTACTTTGATATTATGAAGCTACAAGGAAGGCTTATCATGGGATATTCACATTTGAAGTTTTGAACTGTGTCTTCATGAAAATTTAGCTACTTAGATGTTAGTTACAGTTTGTTATGCTGCATTTGTGTCCTATAGGCTCAGATTTGCTTTTTATCTGGAATGCAGTTTGCTGTAATCCATGCTGCTTTCTTGGTCAGTGTTTTACTCTTGAGCATTTTGAATTTTATTGGCTGGTATAATTGTCATCATGATGCTTTAAAAATGTAGTTGCCCCAGATATTGTTCAAATTAAATTGTTCATTCATCTGTTGAGCAACATTTAGCTTCTCAGTTATTGATGACTCTTTTTTTTCTTTCTTTCTTTTTTGGCTGAATTGATGACTACTTTCTGAGTCCTGTTTTTAAGTCATTTAGAAGCTATTTCTTGGAAAATGGTGTCTAAACTAATATGAAAAAATTAGGTTCTATGTGCTTCATGTCTGGATCTATTGAAATGGAAAACACGTATGTGCCTGAAAACGAAGTGGGAGTGTGGCAATGGCTTTTTGGCAAGAATGTCACTAGCATTGTTCTCCACAATCCAGGTTCAAATGATGGATTTGTTGGAATTGCTGCACCCTCTCTTGCAAGGATTCTCCCGGTTTGTTTTATCAACTTAATCAAATTTCATTATTTTATTTATACATTTCTAGGTTATGAAAGTTATGTGTGGCTCGTGATCCCAAAATTAATGTTCTAACAGGTTTTTTTTTTTTTTTTGCATGGTTTAAATTTGCCTTACAGATTGATTTGGCAATGTTTGGGGGACACCTTTTATGTCAGGTAGGACTGACTCGTCTGTTGGTCATTTTATTTTTATGAGAGAATCTTTTTTTTTTTCTTTGTTATTTTCTGCTTATAGTTAATATGTTTAGATGCTTTAGATCAATGTTGGATATAAATTTGCTCATTTTTCATTACATCAGCTCAATTTTGTATGTGACCTTGTTGACTTCTTTTATAGCCAGATGCATTTCTTTGCTCCGTCAATGATGTGAAGGTCAATAATACAGTTGATCACAGGGCTAGGAATGTTGTCAGTGGAGTAGAGGTGACATACAGATGGCTTAACTTTCCCTTTTTTCCTTTTTGTAGCTGGATGCATTTGTTCTTTCCTATTTTTTCTGTCTCTTACAGTTGTGCTACTGCTCCTTCATTAGTTTCCTGATAATCTGATATTGAGTTTTTGTTTCTTATTTATGTCATGAAGTATTTAAATTCTCTATAACTGTATATCTGATTAGCATGTCTGCTGACATAATAGGGATTTCTGAGGCAGAAGCTATCAGGCAATGGTCTTGCCTTTATTGTTGCCGGTGGATCTGGTATGCATCATATCACTGATTCATATTCTTGTGGAAAAGTTATGTTAGCAGCAGAAATGAATCCAGGATCAATATCTTTGGGGCCACAAATTAGGAAACCTTTTATACAAATTCAAATAGATTTTCTCCTAGGATCATTAGGGCTTATTTTCTAGGATCATTTTTTCTGCAATCTCCAACCCCTACCGATGGCCAAAAGAAAAATTCTCCAGACCTGGTTATTTTCTGATGGCTGGGTAATTTTATCAATAATTCTTGAGACACGTTCAATTTATTGCCTTTATTTTTGTTTAATGAAAAGTTAAGAGTTGCTTTATATTCCTTTTTAGGCTGATGTAGAAATTCTTTGCATTTCTCTTTTTGCTAGTTGTGCAGAAAAATCTTGAGGCGGATGAGGTACTGTCTGTTGATGTATCTTGCATTGTCGCCCTTACAACCACAGTGGGTGTCCAAATTAAATACAATGGTCCCATGAGAAGGGCAGTCTTTGGGGTAAGTTGCGCATATTCTGCTAGATTTGTTCATATATTGATGCAGGCTGCAGCCCGCTCCTTTCTAAAATAACACAGATTCCATATTTTACTTTATGTCATCATTTATATGACATGTTATCATGACAACTGTGAGATTAGTAGCACCCTTCTGCCTACCTATGAGAATAAATATTTGCGTATCTTCTCTAATGCCCTTCAATTATTGTGCAAAGCACATTTTGTGGCACCTTGTTATTTGCCCAATTTCAAGATCTTAGCCTTCCAAGACACCTTCCAACCATGATTGTTGTTTCTTGGTTTTGTTTAAACTGCAGGGTGACAATTTAGTAACAGCTGTTCTAACCGGACCTGGCATCGTCTTCATCCAGAGTTTACCCTTCCATCGGCTTTCTCAAAGAATTGCCAGGTAAATCTAGTCCAGCATAAAATCACTTAAGTTTCTTCTCTCTTTTTTTTTTTCGCCACCTATCCGCAATAAATCCCTTACAAAATAAATGGATTTTGGGTTTGCAGGGCGGTCACCTCTCCAAACATGAGGGAAAATCCGAAGTTTTTTGTTCAGATAGCCATTTTCTTCTTCCTGGCATATGTTGTAATTGTATCTTCGTTAATATTGACTGATGCATGATTCTCTTTCTTCTTTTTCTTCTTCTTCTTCTTCTCTTTTTTTTTTTTTTTCTGATTTTTAGGTCACTAAGTTACTTATTTCAATTGTTTCCTTCAAACACTGTTTGAGCAGAAAACATGATGAGTGATTGTTTAAATAACTCAAATATATGTAGTTTTTGTTTTTAAAGAGGAAATATAGTTCAATCATTTCTTTTTCTATTCGACCTTCATTTTCACTAAGCTTTCATTTAGTTTTGATAACTTCCCTTTAGTGGAAGTTACTCTACCTAATTTTATTCCCATCCCCAGGTAAAAAAACTATCCAATCCAGGGTCAATCTGTTGGAAGGTAAAAATTACCCACCTCCAGCAAAACTTTTCTATAATCAATGAATCTAACCAACTACCAATACCTTCACACATTCAGCAATAACTTCCATGGTAGCTTCCACATTCGTTCAGTTAATTTCCATAAGAACCCTTAACCATTAATGGGAGAAATATGCACTTTTAACATGTATTTAGTATACTTTTGGGAAAATATAGGAATAGTTTTAGCCTCCATTTCTTTTGACATAATTCTTACTTCTTTTTTTTTTTTTTAAGATAAAAGTTTTCCATGGCTAAAGGAGTATTTCAATTGTTTAAAAATTTAAGATTTTAAATTAAAAATCTTAATTTTAAACTTTAAAATAGATGAGAAGGGATTAAAGACAGAAAAGACTATCCCATTACCTCATGTACTCAAAAAATATTTTTTCTCACAACTTTCCTTATATAAAATTTACTTTAACAACTTTTTTTTTTATTACATAAATTTTTTACCAAAGTAGAAAAATACTTTCTACCTTTGCATAAATACTTTCCCAATAATTCCACTCTCTAACTAAGGGGTTGTTTGGTGGAGTTTTTACTTTTTTTTAATACTATTTTTAGTATTATTTATGAGTTTTAAGTTTAAACTTTTATTAGAGAAAAAATTTAAAAGTTATTTTTAAAAATAATAAAAAGTAAGTAAA